CATCGCTTTGCTCTTACCGACAGCTCGCCTGTGTTCCATTTCCGATGGAAGAGCCTGGTGTTGCATTTGCGGTCCGACAGCAGCATGATGTCCTCCTGCAGGCAAAAACCAAGAGAGAGATTGGAAAAAACGGTCACCTTGGCTTTTGGTGATGTGGTGCAACCGTCGTCAGCCTAGAGGGGTTTGAAACCGGGACGAAATTTGGCCCAGCATCCTTCTTGTCCCCAAACTCCCTTGGAAGACATCCTCCTCGTCCTCAGACCGCTGCAGAAAACATCCACCTTCTCACTCAGGGTCTCGAATTTGGCATCCCCTCTGCCTTGCCAGCCCACAGCCCCCCCCGCCCCTGCTGCCCGCGATACTCACAAACTGCTCCTTCATCTTCTGCACAGCCTTCAGCTCGTGGGGCACGAGGAACTGGTACTTGGAGAGGCTGCAGCTCTTCTTCAGGACGTTCGGGGGAAGGCATCGCCGAGGCTGGCCCCCAGCGCCAGCAGCAGGGTGAGGATGAGGTGCAGCATTTTGCTGACGGGAGCCTGATGCTGAGCGGGTTACGATGGGGCGAAGGGGGCTGCGGTGCAAGAAGCCAGAGAGGACGAGGCAGAGTGCTCTGGGCTGCTAAATCCCCGATGTAGAGATGCCCGACGGTGTTGCCACAGGTGGCTCGCTCGGCTGCAGGGCTGCTGGGCTGGTGGCCGGTCCCGAGGAGCTGCTTCGCCTCCTTCGCTGTGGCTGCCTTGTTCCCCATCTTCTCCCTGGCTTTTTATGCTGCCTGCCCGGCCTGATTGCGCTTTCAGATTAGCAGGAAAATCCGTGGCCTGGCGGCTCTGGAAACAGGAAAGCGAAAGCGATGGCAGAGGGAATCCCGCAGCCGCAGGTTCGGCAGGTGTGGGCAGCGCCCGCCTCCTGCTGCCTGCCTCGGCGGGGCACCCAGCACCCCAGGGATGCGGGGAGGGGGGGGTGCTCGGGGTGCTGTCGGCGTGCACCCCCCTCCGAGGGAGCTGAATGGGGAGAAGCTGCAGTCGCGTCGAGCGGCGCAGAGGCGCTGGGAAGTGCGGGGAAGCCTGGGCATGACCCAGCCCGGCACTGCACTAAATTCTGTGGGAGCCCCCTCCCCCCCGCACACAGCCCCCCGGGGACAAGAGGGCTCAGGGCGGCCGGGAGGATTTCGGTGCTTCCTGAGAGGCAGCAGCGGTTCATGCCTCGGTTTCCCCCACAGGAAGCGTAGCACAACAGCCGTGGCAGGGAAGGGTTAAAAGAGCCATATGTGTGTATTGCCCTGAGGGACCAGGCTCCCCACAAAAGCAGGAGCACTTCCACCTAGCGTTTTCTGGGTGGGATGTCGGGTTGTGCAGGGAGGCTGCCAGAGGTGAGCGGAGCTGCCACCCCCACCAGCCGCTGGAGCTGGCTGGGGTTTCTTCCCTGTTTAGCCTGGAAACACAAATATCATGTATTGACATCTCGCCGCTGACAGCTGGAACTGTGCTCCCATTCAGCAAAATCTCTCCTTCCCTCGAGGTAACCTCCTGCCACGTGAAGTCGTCCCCTCTGTGCTTTTGGTTTCATGCAGTAATCAAGCATTAAATATAGCGAGTAATTTTTTATTCAATGCAACTTGTTCACATTCGATACAACTACGAAGTAAAAGCCCAAACCAGCAGAACTACCTGCGTATAACACCAGAGTGAGGCACAGCTCAGCCAGAATAGACAGCACCTTAGCAAAAAAAGCTGATGGGTGTAAAAACAAACGTGGCCCCCGCTGAGGGAGAGGAGGGAGCGGGTGTCCCAGCCCTGGCTGAAACACTTCGGGTCGCAGTGAAGGGGCTGGAGAGCAACGGTGGCTCAAGGTCCCACATGGTGGAGCCCAGCCAGCTCACAGGACAAGCACCACAGGGCGATTCCTCCTCTGGGCTGAAGAACGAGACAGACTGGGGTGTTCTGGCACCCAGGTTGGGATCCCCGGCAGCCGCCAGCGGGGCCGGAGCAAGGTCCTTAGCACCCAGTGACATCCAGCGTCGCGATGGTGCTGTCCAGTGCCTGCTGTGCTGGGGTGTCTGCAGCCCCACGGGCCCAGAGCAGGGCTGGAAGATTGACTTGGAACATTCAGCGATCCACCACAGACCGCTGCCCCAGGCCCCCGCTGAGGGCAGCGCTGGGACACTGCCGGCTGACCCGCCAGGTCCCGGAGCCGCATCACACGCCTGTGGGAGCCAGCTGCCTTGGTTCTTCTTCCCCGCCGCTGTGGCTTTTATTTCCTGGGTGTCACTTGTGGTTGAGGAAGCAAAGGGAAACCTGATCTCTTCGTGCGGGCGAAAGGAGATCCGGAGGCACCAAAGGAAAAGCAAAAGCTGAGCAGGGAAGCCAGGACCATGAGCACAGCCCCCCAGCACGCAGAACTGCTGTGATGAAGGGCTGAAGATCTCCTGGGTGCCTCACTCGCCACCAGCTGCAGCCAAACCCAGGCGTGCCTGGCGGAGCAGCGGCGAGGAATTCTCCCTGACGGGATGTGGCCTTGCCACCCTGGGCATCGGCACAGCGGCAAATATCCTGTGGCGACACCGCGCTCCACCACACCCCGGTCCCCAGCAACGCCTGGCTGCGTTCGGCACAGCTCCTCCAAACCACCACAACGCTGGCTCCTGCCACGACTGCCGAGAGTCCCCCAAAGCCAGCACGGGCTGGGGACACGGCGCCGTGTCCGGTGGGGTCTGCAGAGCACCGGGGACCTGGCACAGTCATTGCTCCAGCCCCGGTGGGTCCCGGCCCTGAGTGCCGGGAGAGCAGCGCAGGTGGCGACAACGGAGCCCCCTCCTTGGATTCACGCAGCCCAGGGGGCTGGAGCCATTTCAGCTTGCTCTCAGCAAGAAATCCTGGGTGCATGGGGGGTCCCGGGCATGGGAAGGAAAGTGAAAACAGGCAGGGCTGCTGGCATCAGCACCGAGTGAGGCAATCACCCCGTGACTCAGTGGTTGCCGCATCGCACAAGTGTGGAAAAGCCTTGGCCACAAGCCATGCTGCTGGAGTGGGTAAGGACAAGCCCATATCTCTCCTTTCTGACCCCTTTTGGAGCTGGCGGGCTCATCCGAGAGGAACTGCCTCCGGCTAAAGTCGCTGGTCTGAGAAGATCGAAAGAACCAAAGCAGCACCCCAAAAAAGCCACCTTTAAAAATAAAAACCCTGGGTGGTGTGCAGGAGCCCTGCCCGCAGCTCAGGTGTGCCGGGGCGGGGGACACCAGGTGGCCTCTGCTTGGAAGCCATCACCAAACCTGTCCCCAGCGGCCCGGGGTGTCAGTGCCACCGAAGCACTGCCAGCCCCGCTACGCACCCCAAAACCCCTTCACCGCCCCCCGGCACACACAAGCTGCAGCAGCCACCACGCTGGCCCGTGACAAGCGCGTTGGTGATGCAATCCCTGGTGTTACGTCACGACCGATGCGCTCACCATCCCGCCAACGCCAGGGAAGGAAGGGCTGTTAATTATTGAGCGGATTGAAACAAGGTGTTTTAAATTTAAAGTGAGGAGGGAAAAAAAACACAAAACAAAACAAAACACAAACCCAAACAAGCACTTTTTTCCCCAGAGCCTTCGCTGTAGGGACACAGGGTGCTCAAAAGGACAAGCCCTGCCAGCCCCAGCCAAGGCAGCCGTACAGGCCACCCGCCTCCGCGTAGCCGTGTTGCCCGGTGCAGTCCCAGCCAGGGAGAGACCTCTAGTGCTCCTTGAGGAGATGACAAGCCACCAGCCTCATCCTCACCCGGCGAGGGAGGGGTTACGGCCGCTCCTCACCCAAATGCAACCTGCACCCCCAGGGCAGCCTCTTCGCCGGTGACCAGCAGCAGGGCTTGATCCAACAGCGCTGCTTGGCGAGGTCTTCTCCCACGTGGTGCCACAGACAGACCAGCCCCACAGCACCAGTGGGCTTTCCTCCACGTTGCTGTCCTCCTGGGATCCCACCACCCACCTGGGAGCCTCCGAGCAGGGGTCAAAGCCTTTGCTCCCCACCCCAGGCAAGCTGCGCCGGCACTCGGTGGCCCCAGTGGAGATGTGCCCAGGGTTAAGGGGGCTCAGGTTCTGCACCCATGGCAGGGCCACCCCCCTGGAGCCCTACAGCTCCAGCCCCTATAAGCCTCCCTCCAGATGCTCTCTCTCTGGGGAAGGCAGCAGAAGAATCACTTCTGCCTTTCTTAATAACTCCTTAACATAAGAGGGTGAGGCCACAGCCCTCCCCGTGGCATCAGGGTAGCCTTCTTGCCAAGGGCAGGAATTACAGGAAAGAGAAAGGTCCCCACAGAGGCTGTGCCTGGACTTAAAATATGTGGAAAGCAAACAGGAGGAGACCCGTGCTGGGCTGTGGTCAGCTTTCAGCCCCACTGCCTCCATCCGCCCCTCCCCAAAACGCAGCCTCTAATCTTCCTTTTGCAGCGTGGGTGTGCGATAGCGGGCTGGGGCCGAGGGGAACACAAACCTGCTCTGAAAAGACTCCCGAGCTGAGCTGAGGGTGAGGGCCGGAGCAGCAGCGCTGGCGCAGCACCGGGCGAGCCGGGGGTGGAGAAGCTGCTGAGAGACTTTGCTGCACTGGGGATGGGGTGATGGAGTGGGCGAGAATAGCCCCTTCCCAGCTTGGCCTTCGAAGACAGTACACAGCTCCTAGCTGAGCCTGGGCAGGGAAAGGGGAAAATGGCCTTTTCTACCCAAAACCCACCCACCTCGTGAAACAGAAGGCCGCTCGGGGCCTCGGTAAGCAGTGCCCATGAAGTGCAGTTATTGCCACCCCAGCAGGTGCTCTGCAGCCTGTCTTGAAAAGAGGAACCACAAGAAACTTTTTTTTTTTTTTTCAGCTTTTAAAATGATGATAGTGTAAGAAATGCAGCAGATTTCTCAGTTGTTATTGCGCTTCTCATCCCCACGTGCAATCCAACCGCCACCAGTCTGAAACTGGACCCTTCCAGTGCTGAGAGGGTGGATGGGAACCCGGAGAGCAGGCATAAACTCCTGTCTGCTTTCCATAAATCAAAATTTTAATTACTGAAATAAGCATCAATCTCCCCAAGAAATGAGAGTGGTTACAAGCAGGGTATTAGAAGGCAACCCACTTTTCCCTTCCCTTCCAACACCAGGTCAGGGGAAGGGTTTCCTCACTGTCCCTTGCACCCCAGCACACAGACGTGCCTCACCCAGAACTCCACCGGGGTTTCCCGAGAAGAAACTCCCATCGTCTCCAACATCCTGAAACAAGAAGCAGAAGAAGGGTCTCGCTCTGCCCAGCCAGCTCCCACCTGACGTGGGGCAACATCAACCACCAGAGACAGGTCTCTTCCACCCAAAGCACAGAGGTCTTGATGCTTCCAACACCCCCACGCAAGGGTTGTTTTGGTCAGTGAGTAGATTAGCAGGCACAGGGATGCCCTCCCTTCCCAGCTTTGCAGCAGGCCCTTGTTTTGGGCCAAAATAGATTGTTTAAGATGCAACTGTCAATATTTTTCCTGCCCTGGGCTAATCAAGAGCAAGGCAAAGAAACTCAAGGTACATCTGACATAAGACTTGGATGGATACAAGAACACCATACAGCTACACGGACTTGAAGTTTAAGTCGACTGACTCAAACTGAGGTCAATCATGCTGTGAGCAGCTGAGGATCTGCATCCATCCACACCTGGGGGACGGAGGGAGCGCGGCACTGCACAGCTCACTTCCAGCTTTGAAGGGGTCTCCGCAAGCTCGCTCTTCGTGACACAGGTCCTCTGTGTCCCGCTTGTTTCCACAAGTGGTTTTCTCACCTCTTTTCAGTCTCTTCGAGAAGGGATTTTGCAGCTTTGGGGTCATTCTTCAAAAAGGCTTGATACGGAGAGGCAGACTCCAAGTAACCAATCACACCAGCAATCGTCATGGGAATTTTGTCAAAGATATCAGTGATTCTAGAAGGGAGACAGGGAGGAAAGGAGCATTGGCAAGTTAAATTTCAAAGGCAGCAGAACAAAGACAACAGATTGAGGTGGTGGTGAACAAAATACCTGACACCAAAGGTCCAACAGATGGAAACAACATCTGACAGTGGCATTCGGTGGGTCGGGAGCTCTAACTGATGCGCTACTGGAGAAGCGGAGATGGTCCCAGGGACCACCTAACGGAGTCTGTGAGTTGACCAGCCCTTGCGCTACAGGCCTCCTCTGCAGAGCCCCTTCCTCTCCAGCAGCGGGACACCAACACCTCTTTGACACCACCACCACGTGCTTTTTGCCTGCGGAGCCAGCCCCTGCCCCGTGCCTTGGTGGGGAGGCAGGCAGGCGCAGGCTCCCTGGAGCTCTGGGGCAGGTTCTTTCTCTCACTCCATTTTTCCCCCCTTCATCCATTAAGTGATCTGCCCAGAAGCCTCAAAATTATCATAAACCACCAGGTGAAAAAAAAAAAAAATCTAACCCAATCCTGCCTTGAGCAGGAAGGGTCCTTACAGCCCTCAGACCACAGTTGCTGGCCCAGCCTAGAGCTGCATTAAATCCAGGGGGAGTGGGAAATGCAACCACACAGCTCTGCCACGATGCAAAGGTATTTACCACCTCTAGCCACTCCTGGTGGCGTGTCGAGGGGTTCCTGCTCACCTCTTTTTGTCTGGAAACGGCAAGGCCTCAAAGATCTCTTTGTAGTCTTCCAAGACAAGTTTTAGTCTATTATGCGAGTATTTTAAAAGCAGGTCCCAGGTCTGTAAAGACAGTGTATTAAAAAACAAACACAAAACCACCTGAAGCTCTCGGTTTCAATTTAATTCAGGTTTGCTTGGCCCTAGATCTGATGCATTCATACATGTGCTTTAAAAAAAAAAATACTCCCTGCATTAAAATACACCAAAATCTTGCTTAGTGTCAGGAACTTAAGGATCCTATTTTATTACAGAGATAAGGGTCCTGTCCTCCTCCCTACACTGCTCTTACAGTGGAAAGTCTCCTTTTATTGAGTTGTTAAAACACTCTTTGTCAAGAAACATCACTAAAAAAGCCTCTTTCCAGTTTCTACTTTCCATTCTTTTCACTGCAGTCAGGGCAGCGGGAGAAGTCTTTTTGACGGTACCAGCCCCCCAAATCTGCTCCGCAGCCACACCACAGTCTGCCCTATTACCCCTAACGTCCCTTTTCTCCTCAGCCAGCCAAGCCCCGGCACTGGGTGGGAACCACTAGGCCCCATCTCGGCTTCGTCCCCGTATTTACCCATCCCCATGCCCCATCCTGCAGTGGGAGTCCTCTAGTCATACCCCTCCCCAAGCCCATTGCCCTCCTCTCTGCATTTAAGTGCCACGCATTTCCCCCTGCCCACCCCAGGAGGGGGAAGCCCCGAGGTTGAAATTTCACCCCTCCACCTCTCTGAAGACTTCGGTCAGCTTTTCAGAGCAGCTCCCGTAGCGCAGGCTCATGTCCACGGTGTAGGTGCTGATGACCACGCAACCGCCCGGCTTAACCACCCGGTTGGCTTCTCTCATGAACTTCTCGATATCAAACCAGTGTGCGGCCGTAAATGAAGTCAGGAGGTCCACCGAGGCACCCTCGAAGGGCAGCTCCTCCGCAGGGCACACACTGGAGCGGGAGAAGGAGAACAGGTAGTGTGTAATATGGAAGTTAGGAAGGAGGACATGAAGTCAGTGCAAATATTTTTTTTTTTTTTTTTTAGAGTCAACGATGATCATTTGGGATGCAAGACCACGGCTACTGTAAGCCTAGCACAACGCCCGTTCACACCAAGAATCCCAGCAAACGGGATTTACTTTGGCGCCCGCTGGTTCTTGCGATGGTCACGCTCACAAAACGCCGCCTCTGCGTGAGGAGCCGAGTTTTGCTTTCGGCTGAGCTCTGCTGCCCCGACACTCACAGGTAGGAGACGTTGGGCAGGGAGGGGGTGTCCCTGGCCTCCTGGATCTGGGCTTCGCTGATGTCCGTTCCCACCACCTTCCTGAAGTGCTCCGCCAGGAAGCGGGTGCCTTGCCCAGACCCGCAGCCGACATCTACCACCAGCTCCGCCGGGTTTGCCCTCTGCAAGGAGGAGTGGATGCGTCTCAGCGGGCGGACGGCCGCCCAATTTCTGTGCTTTTACCCCACTCCTCCCCCCCCCAGCATCCACGGAGGAACAGCCTCAGCGTGGCACAACCCACCTAAATGTTCTTCTGTGCCCACGCCTTCCCTGAGCCCTATCGATTTATTCTCCCCCGGAGCACCAAGCAAGGTAACGCTCCCAGCAGGGTAAATACTACTGCCCACAAATACTTTGTCTTTTTTCCAGACAGCCTGCCCACACCCCGCTCACCTTTTCCTGCAGGTAGGCGAGGATGGTGCGCTGCAGCTCTTCGCCCGGCGCAAACCTGTATTTCTGGTAGACAGCCGCGTGCCCTCGCCCCTCGAACATCTGGGTGGCCATGCTTGGGCGACCTGGCACCTGGGCGGGGGCAGCGAGCCGGGTTTGGCCCCGGGGGCTGCAACTCCTCCGGCCTCCTCAGCCTGACACCGCCGGCACTGAGAGCCCCCGGTTCCCGGCGGGGCCCGCGAGGCTCCGCCCAGGGAGCGTGAACCCGCTCTCCAAGTATCCCTCCCACGGGTGTAAGCTAATCGCGGAAGCACACCAGCAGCCTCTGAGGAGGAGAAGCTTTCTAGGCTTTTTAAACCCTTCTTCTCCTTTTGCTTTCCCCACCCACCTGGGCGTCTTCTGAAATAAATCACCATTACAGCAGGAGTATCTGCGAATTTGGGGGGGGGGGGACTGAGCAGAGCATCAGTGAAACAAACAGCAGAAGAGTTTGTTTGGTTGTGGTTTTTTTAAGGAAATCTGTTTTAGTAGTAACAACACAGTCGCAATGTTTTCTGAACCTTTTTTTTTTTTTTTTTTTTTGGTCCCTTCGTGCCCCGGAAACGCTCCAAAGTCTCTTTTCAATCCAGAGCCTCATTAAACCCGTCACGCAGAACCACAGGCGGAGGCGAGCCCGGCCTCACCGCGGGGCCCCTCAGGCCACCCAAAGCCGCTGTCACAGCTACAGCCCCCAGCAGCCCCCCCCCCACTTACCCGGCAGCTGAACCCCTCCATTCGCTGTCAACCAGCCGGTCCCTGCGCCCACCGGCCGCCGCTCGCCCATCGCGCCGTGTCCCGTTTCCCTCGGTTGGCCGAGCAGGCACCGACCCAGCGCGGGCTCGGTGGCCGTGACACCAGGACCCCAAGAGCCTGCCAGGAGGACTCCCTCCTGCTTTTCTTTTTTTTTTTTTTTTGGGGGTGGGCAACCGCGGCGCCTCGCCCCGCCGACGGAACGAGGGGACGCAACGACAGTGAGTTTCTCGAGCTGATCTCCCACGTCAGGCAAGAAACGGTTATTGCAGCTCGTGACGCAAGGAGAGAGGCTGAGCAGCTGCGTAGCTCAGCCAGCTCAGGGCTGGATACTCCCAGCCGGGGAGCGGCAGCCGCGCCAAAGCCCTTTTTTTGGAGGGGATTCCCCCCCCAGGCGCTTGCCATGTGCTCGGAGAAGCCTTCTCCCCCCACCCCCGCTTGCACCCCTCCTCTTACCGCCTGCTGCTCCCGCCGCCGGCAGCTCCCAGCACCTCCCCCTTGGGAGCTCCGGGACAAAGCGGGCGGGGAGGCACCGCCCCCGGCCCGCCCCGGCTACTCCCCCCGCAAACACACACCCCCACACCCCCACACACACCCCCACACACACCCACACCCACACACCCCCACACACACACACCCTCCGCAAAAGGGCGGGCGGCTTCCAGGGCCCCCAACCCCCCGAGATCCTGGAGCCAGAGAGCTCAGCCTTCACCTTTCACGCAGCTTCGGTGGCTGTTAATTAAAGACAGCTTTCGCAGTGCCCAAGAACCTGGGGGGGGGGGTGTCTCTTGGCAGCCCCGCACACCCCCAGAGTGAAAGCCAGGAGGTTGCGGCGAAGTAGCAGGGGAACGGGATTCAAACGCTTCAGGCACCCAAACCCACACTCAGAGGGGTCTGGCTGTGCTGAAACCCCCTCCTGTTAGCCTGCAGAAAGAGAAGAAGAAGAAAAAAAAAAAAACAGCACCAACTTTAAGAGCACAGAGCACTGGTACTTAAGGACTAGGCAAAGCCTTTCTCCCCCTCCCCACCCCAATTTGGGACAGGATTTTACCCCTTTGCACACTGGATTAATTAATGCTAATTACATAGAGCTGAAGGCAGCGGGCCGAGGTTCACCTGACGCAAATTCACTTCGGTTTGTATCTTTCACGGGGCTTGTGGACCTCTGCTAATTAGCACAGCCTTTAAGCCCCTCCTAATTTGAAGAGACCTCTGCTAATTAGCACAGCCTTTAAGCCCCTCCTAATTTGAAGAGAAATCCGTGGAGCCTATCCAGGGGCTGACGAGGGAGGCCACCTTGAAGCAGTTTGCTGAATCAAAGTGTGGGTTGGAGTTACTGAGCTTGTGTCCCGCGTATTTCATTCGGGTCACCTGCTGCTTAATTTGGCCCTGGGGGTGCGTCTCTGCACAGGGGGGAAAATACAGCACAGGCACTAAAGGCTTTTCGTAACGCGTAGTGTGGCAAGAGTCTGGCCTCTTCGGGGTTTAGATGCCTGAATTTTGCGTGTGCTTTGCTGAGAGCGTGACTGCATACGGGAAGGGATGATGTCCCGGGCTTCGGTCACCTGCCCTCTTCCAAACTCTGAGGTCCCCATAGCACGGGCTGCTCTCATGGGCGACCTACGGATGGTATTTAACCGGTTATCCTCTGGCTACAGCTGAGACCAAACGCCTCCAGTAAAACACAACGTGAGCCAGGCAGGGGCTGCAAATGGGACTAGTCCTTTTCTAAGCTCCCCCAGCCTTTGGCACGCTGGATTCACTTGCCTTTCTCTCCCTACCCCAACTCTAGACCTATTTATATTCCCCAAGTGACAGCTAATCTCCCACGGCCCTGCACCGTGCAGCAATAAATTGGTCTCCTTGACCTTTGGATCGCTGAGCCTTAGCCCAAATGTGAGTTATACTCCAGTCACAGAAAATTAGTGTCCATCATCCCTGCCACAGGCTTTAAGGAATACCAGAGCACCCTGGGGTCTTCTCAACCTGTTCCCCAAACTTACAGGCCTTGTGGATTTAAATTATATAGCGGGGTTCTGAATGAATAGACCTCCAAAAAAAAAGAGCCCAAATGAGACTCCCGTCAGTCTTCCCGAGTCACTTGTTGGTGTTTTTCACCAACAACTTTGCAGTGCTGAAATGTCTCATCTTGATATGGAAAGAGCCATTTTGTTTCTACTATCGTGGTTCATTTCATTGCACATCAGTAAATACTATACTGAATTCTTTTTCTCGGTGTAATGACTTGACATCCAAGGGAAACAGCACTGCCTCGTGAAACCAAAACATCTGACAGCATCTTAGCCAGATGCTTTGGTATTTCTGAAGATTTCCTTTCCCCTCTGTCATGGTTTAAACCTGGCCGGCAGCCAAACACCCGGCAGCCACTCGCTCACCCCCGGGGAACGGGGGAGAGCGTTGGAGGGGTCAGTGTAAGGAGACTGGTAGGTTGAGATAAAAGCAATTTAATAATTGAAATAAAAGAAATTAATAATGATGAAAATAATAGAAAATAGAAACGAGTAACTTGCAATGCGACTGCTCACCACGCACTGACCGATGACCAGCCCATTCCCGGCTAGCGATCTCAGGGAAGAGAGAATCCTGAAACCACAATCCTGGGAGCCGGAGCGAGCTTCCCCCTCCGCCCTTATCTGTACACTGAGCATGACGTGAGATGATACGGAATAACCCACTGGCCAGTTTGGGTCCGTTGTTTTGGCTGTGCTCCCCCCCCCTCCCCCCAGCTTCTTGTGCACCTGAGCACGAGCAGGGCATGGGAAGTTGAAAAGTCCTTGATTTCTTAGCAACAACTAAAACCACTAGTGCATTATCAACATTCTTCTCATATCAAATCCCATACCGAACCCAAAACACAGCACTATTCTAGCTACTAAGAAAGAATGGGAAAAAAAAATAATTAATTCTATTCCCTGCTGAAACCAGGACACCCTCCTACTTTGTTTTGGTGCCGGTGGGGAAGATCTGCTCCATTTTATCCAGAATACAAATGTCACTCTCGGAGCAATCCTGGCTCTATAATTACATTCACGCCATCCCCAGCAATAACTTTCTGACAGAAAAATCTTTCCTAATTTCAGCTGGAGAACTCATAAGTGGCTTATTTTCCTGCAGCTACAAAACTCATAAACACCTTCTAATTAATTACACCTATTTCTCAAATGGAAAACGCCTTCTCATTTACTGTCTCTGTGACTGTATTTTAAGCCCAGCCACCACAACTCTGGGCCCTTTGGTTTTCTACCTGGGTGGCTTTAAAAATCATAAGGAGTTTTCTCTTTTCCTTAACGATGTGCCATTCCCCCTCCTTCCACCCTCCCTCTCTGCGATGAAGTCAGTGTCCCACTCACCTCCAGGTCACACCACTCCTACTCCAGCCTCTGCCTGTAGGATCCTGCCCACAGAGCTCAAATGCTGCCAGATACACCGAGCTGCATCTTTTGGAGGGTCTCCCAGTTTTAGAGGCTCTGAGTACTAAAGCAATTACAAAATACCTTGATCAGGGCGTTCAATTCTCCACCTTCTCTGTGGATAATCCCCCACCCGGGAAACACTCCAGGTCGCCTTCCCACACCTACCCAGAGGAATTTGAGGGAAAACCTCCGCTCTGGCCGGCTGCATCCTCATGAGGGAATTTTGTCGTGGTTGCTGCTAGGTGCGGGGGGAGAGGGGCAGCACTTCACCACATCCTGCTAAACTCAAGGTGCCGAGATGATGCATGGCACCTGAAGGAGTTGGGGATACTCATAGTTTTCTCGTTCCCCTCCTTTCCTTGGGCTGGACGTCTCTGCCCGCTGCTGCTGGCAGCCGTGTAGAGGTGAAGCTGCAAGATTTGGCCTCTCGAAGATGAAGCGAGTCCTGAATCCTCTTTCCCTGGTAGCGGAGGTGCCCCTTTGGCCAGGTCTTTGAACACAGACCTTAAAATTGCAGCAATTCTGTAGCCCGCAGCCAAGTCAGGGGCTTGCTGCTTGTAATTCAGCACCACCACTGCATGCTGCCCCTGCCCGTCAGAGGAAGGTGAAGGAGGGGACCTTCAGATCTGGGCAAAGCAGTGCAGCCTTGATTTTAGAGATTTGGATTTTTAGAGATTTAGAGATTTGCCACCGGGCAATTCCCCAGGAGCAAGTGGGACAAGCAGGGTCCCAACGCACGTGCTGGCACTACCGTTACTTCTTGTGATGAGCTTCAAAACATTATCCGGGGAAAAGAAATCCAGGCTGAGTGAGTAGGAAGGAACGGCGATGTCCAGAGCCGTATGTCACCCTCAGCACGACCTGTGGCAGAAGCCGAGCCCCGTCCTACACAGCCCTGGCCTTGTGGCACCGAACCCTGCAACCGGATGGAGCTAAAGGGAGGGGAGGCAAGTCGCCCCGTTGCAGCGCTGCAGTTAATTTACAAATTTAATGGCTTTAAATCTCATTTCATCTTCGACTGACTCGGCAGCTCTTTGCTGGACCGTGCTGGAGGGAGGATGCCCAGAGGGGGGGCAGGAAGGGCGAACAGAGGCCGTGGGAGGGCTGGATGCACTGGGGTCAACCTCCCCATCACCAGGATACTGACCCAGGATGGGGCTGACACCGTCCTCCTTCTGACCCGACAGCTCGGGAGACGTGTATTTAGGTGATAACTACACCGAGGAGTCAAAAGAGTCTGTAACCAGCAGGCTCTTGCTCAAATAATCACAGTGTAAACACCTTCACCCCGGGGTGGGTCCTTCTCCACCAGGAAGGTAGCGCTGGTATGAAAACACAAACCGACCACAGCGCCCGAGGGGGAATGGGTGAAACACTCGAGGCACGCGTCTGGCATCACTTCTGTCTCTGTCACCCGGGTTATTTACACTGCGAAGAAGCCAGTGAGATTTCTCTTACCTTGTGAAGAAAATTATTTGCTTTTAAGACCCCAGTAAGACTTCAGCTCTTGGGAGACTTTTCCCCTGTTTATTTGTTCTCTGATGGAAAAGGAACAAGATTTATTATCACAACGGGGAATAAAGGGATTGGAAAATACTTGGTATTTCTACAAGGCTCTTTTTAAACCTAGAGGGCTCAGACTTTAAATTAATGAAGAACATAATTCTCTTGATTTACAAGCGGCGGGGCATGGGATAAAATTTCCATGTAGGGAAGGGAGTTAGTCACAGATCAAGGATGTCTCAGCTGATCGCATGGCTCTGTGTGTTACAGCTGTGCCTCGAGGCCCTGGCTGGGATCGGGACTGTCCCTGCCCAGTCCCTGGCATCTGCAACCCAGAAAAAAATCAGTGCTTGTGTGGAAAGAGAGCCCGGACGACAGAGAGACCCAGTGCATCAACAAGCGAGGGAGAGGGGGAGAAAGGAATCTCTGCAGCAGTGACTCTTCTGGGGAGCGGGCATCCGTCCCCGTGCAAATAAGTGTCGCTGCCAGTTGCCAGATCCTTTTAACAGCAGGCTGGCTATTCTCGTGCTCAAGCACACAAAAGGTTGGAGAAGAAATAAAGGCAGGCGGGGGCAAGCTCGAGGGCAGAGAAGGAAGTCTGCAGAGGGGAGCGCCCTCGACTTTGAAATCCTGCCTCCTCCCTTAGCTCATCCTGCCATAAATCCTTCCCGGTGAACGGCTGATGCACAGCGCGCGGGGGAGCTGAGAGCCCCGGCTGGGAGCAAAGTCCCAGCATTAGCATCTTGCGGAAACAATAAGAAACAAATCCTTCTCCCATCATTTCACCTGTTAATTAAGGAAGATGAGAAGACTAATCGTGGTGCTGACGAATGAAATGAAAGTTAGAGGTCACCTGAGAACCCACGGCAGAGCACGCCGAGCTCCCCTGTTCCCCCGCGCGGGGACTGGCGGCTCCTCCGTGTGCTTCCTGGCTCATCTTACGGCTTTATTTGCCGATGAAAGCAGCAGCACCACCAGCTTATCGTTGTCTCCAATTAATTTGTAACGGTAGAACCACTGATCTCTCGTTACCCGATGGCCTTAAACAGACCCGAACGGCCCCGACTCACCTCGGTGGCACCGCAGCCCGGCGCTGCAGCCCTCGTGGCCAAGCGGGTTCCCGAGGTGCGAAGGTACCAGGTGGTGATTTCGGTGTTTGTGGGCCCAGCCGGTTCCCGGCGGGATGCCAGCAGTCCCGCCAGCTTTGAGGCTGTGGTGGTGCAATTCTCCACACACACACACCCACACCCCCCCCCCCCCCCCCCAGCTCTCCTTGCGGGGCCACTCGGTGCTGAGTGTGGTTCCAACACCCCTCCTGGGTCACACCCCAACCCCAGGGAGGTACGCGCTGCTAATGGCAGGGAACCAGAGAGTCCAGGTGCCCCTTTGACCAGCCCGGCTCCTGCTCTCCCTGTGGCTTGGGAGCGGTAATAGCAGCCCATCACCTCCCCACAGCCTGGGATGTGGTGAAGGAGAACAGTAACAGAATTGCACAGCCGTCAAGTTCTTGTGCGGCTGGTGGGAAACACCAGAATACTTCATTGTTCAAGCCGGGACGGAGTGAAAAGTACCTGATAAAAGTCAATTATCTTGGACCCTCTAAATACAACATGGAGTGAGACCCTCTGAGCTCTCCTGGATCGCAGCGGGCCTGGGACCAGCATCTCCCCTGAGCTGGGACGTCTCTCGGGTACCAAAAACCTTAAGGGATCCGTCCAGTGTCAGAACCAACGGGAGGCCAGTCAACCCACTCGAGTCTCAACCATTGCCCGCTGAGGAACGCCGGCGCCTTGTGAGCAGTCACGCTCAGCTCGAGGAAAGGGAAATTGTAACCTTGAGCTAGCTTCTCTTTCACCCGTTCTACCTGCTCACCGATGGGTTTGGGTATACACGGTTGTTTTCATGAGCGTGGGCACATACATATTCCGCTGGATCCAAATACTTCTGTCTGTCTGTTTGTACAGCTTGTGTTTGTGAATGTGCACGTGTGTACATGTTGGTTTAAGGTACCGCGTGGTAAGTTAGTGTGAATCTTGTCATCTTCGAAGCTGTCGCTATTTTAATTATAACGTATTTTACTGAATTATTTTGTAAACCTTTAAGCTGGTTAATGATTAAGTGCTGCTAGTCATTTATAAATCTTGATTTGCTGCTAAATCATTACCGTGTTAATGCTTTTATCCACGACAGTGGCGCTGTCGGCTTTTACTGCTGAAACTCATTGCCATCCACAGCTCCCAATGCAGTAACGTGGAGAGAGGGCTGGACCTGGGTGGGATGAAGCAGCCCCCCCCATATTTTGGCAGCCGGGTTTCTCCTCTCCTCATTAGAAATGTTTATTTTTAGATGCTTGGGAGCAAATAAGAGTCAGAGAGAAACAGAGGACTCTTGGGCTCCAATGCTTTTGGGAGAGCGTCAGATGTGACGACTAAGGTTAGACACCTTGGAGAGGCCTTCTGCAATAGCTGAGAAGCACCACGTGCCTCCACCTTCAGCTTCAGCCCCTGCGTTTCAGGTGCCCGGAGGTTTCCCACCTCCTGCCTCCTCTGGTGGCTACAGAACCGGAGAGGGGAGGCGAGCCCGTGGGGAAGCCACGGCTGATGCTGCCTGCGTCTGTGTGTGGTGGTTGCAGTGCCCGTGCAGTTTAGCTGACTTCTCCTAAATGTGCTCTGGCTGAATTGCCCCTTGTGCCCCCGGCTGCTTCTGCACCCTGGCAGGGGGCTGTGAGCCTCCGCACTCGACCCCCTCCTCCGTGTGGAATAACCATCAGGAATAAACCTCACCAGGCCTGGATTCGGATGCTACGGAGTCCCCGAGCCGAGTACTTTCCTTTAGGGCATTTTGCGGCGCTGTTACGAAATGGTTGTGCCTTGTCTAGCACAGAGCTTTGCTTTCCAGGGACTTTGGGCATCCAAAGGGCCATAAATTCACTGATGATGAATTAACAAGCCCTGGAATTAAAAAGAGAGAGAGAAGCGTGAGTGCAAATTGATTTTATTTCACCTTTCCTTGTGCGCATGTGCTGGGCATGAGGACATAGTACATTATGTTATTATGTCTGCTGGGATAGGCAGAAAATTCAGTGGTGTCAGGAAGCTGTTGTACTAAAATTAAATGACTCTTTGGGATGTGCGCGGCCAACCACGCTTAAAGCGATTGCTTTGGGGACTGGCTGGTGCTTGACGGTCCGTTCTGAAACGCAATCAAACTCGTGATAATTAAATGAGATCCCGGACCATCTTAATTCAGTGTTTAAGCTTTTTTCTTCTTCCTTGGGATCCAACTCAGGCATATGATAGGAATATTCATTGTAAGAAAGGGAGAAATAAAGGGGAAAGGGGCAATCTTTTAGGCTCTTCTCTCCTTCCTCCAAAACCCCTGTGCCAGGAGACAGCTGAGGCCATCACCCCCTGCTCGTTTCCCATTGCAGTTCCCAGGATCACAGCCCTGTGTCCCAAAAGCCGGGCGGGAACGAGCCTGGAGGCGTAGCCGTGCGGAGGTTTGGAAAGGGGGGGTTTCTGTTTTCTGGCCATGCTGTGATGGCTAGTGGTGGCCCGTTTCAGCCGGGGCCCTTGTGCCTTGGCTGAAACGGGCCTTGAGGAGGGTGCAGGAGGATGCAGGGGGGTGTAAAAGGGTGCAAGGGGGAGGCAGGAGAGTATGGGAAGATGCAAGAGTGGGCAGGAAGGTGCAGGAGGGTGCAGGAGGGCACAGTGGGGTGCAAGAGGGTGCAGGGGGGCGCAGGAGGATGCAGAGGGGCAGAAGAGGGTGCGGGAGGGTGTGTGAGGGTGCAGGAGGGAGCAGAAAGGCAGAGGAGGGTGCAGGATGGTTTAAGGGGGTACAGGGGGGAGCAGGAGGGTGCAGGAGAGTGTGTGAGGATGCAAGAGGGTGCAGGAGGGCACAGAAGGGTGCAGGATGGTTTAGGGGGGTAAAAGGGGGAGCAGAAGGGCGCAGGATAGTGTGTGAGGATGCGAGAGGGTACAGGAGAGTGTGGGAGGGTGCAATAGGATGCAAGAGGGCAGAAGAGGGTACAGTGGGGTGCCAGAGGGTGCAGGAGGGCACAGGAGGGTGCAGGATGGTTTAGGGAGGTACAGGAGAGTGTGTGAGGATGCAAGAGGGTGCAGGATGGTTTAGGGGGGTAAAAGGGGGAGCAGAAGGGCGCAGGATAGCGTGTGAGGATGCGAGAGGGTACAGGAGGGTGTGGGAGGGTGCAATAGGATGCAAGAGGGCAGAAGAGGGTACAGTGGGGTGCAAGAGGGTGCAGGAGGGAGCAGGATGGTTTAGGGGGGTACAAGAAGGTGCAGGAGAGGGTGTGAAGATGCAAGAGGGTGCAAGAGCGTGCGGGGGAGTGCAGAAGGGCGCAGGATGGTTTAGGGGGGGGGTGGGTTGCAGGGGGGAGCGGGAGGGCTGCAGGCGAGCGTGTGAGGATGCAAGAGGGCGCAGGGGGCCTGGGCCTGAACTCAACCCGCCGTGGGAGCGGCTGGTGCTGGCGGGGCCGGGGCAGGAGGCGGGGCCGAGGCCGGGGGCGTGGCCGGGGCCGGGGGCGTGGCCGTGGGCGGGGCAGGAGGCGGGGCCGGGGGCGGGGCCGGGGCCGGGGCCGGGGCGGGGCCGGGGGCGGGGCCGGGGGCGGGGCCGGGGCCGGGGCCGGGGCCGGGGGCGGGGCCGGGGGCGGGGCCGGGGGCGGGGCCGGGGCCGCCCTGCGCGGCTCTCCCGCGGCGCCGATGGGGCTGGGGGCCTGGCTGCGCTCGCTGGGGGGCTGCTGCGGCTGCTGCGGGGGGGAGGCGGCGCCGCCGCCCCCCGAAAAGGAGCCCTTGCTCAGGTGAGGACATCCCCCCCCCCCCCGCCTCCTTTCCCTAACCCCCCACCCCCTTTGGAGGATTGGGGCTGAGCCCCCCCCCCCCCTCGCCTCCGCCTTGCGCTGGAGGAGGGATGCTCCCCACCGGAGGTGGGCCCGTCCCCGTGGCCACAAGCCACGCGTGAGCCCCTCTTCCCCCCCACGCCGGCACCAGCCGGACCCCAGTGCCTTTTCCCCGCAGGTCGGCTGCCCCGGTGCGTCAAACCGAGCCCCGTTTTACCCCAAAACAACCTCCCGGTGATTTTACAGCCGCTGCCGGCCGTGGGGAGTTGACCATCCCTTGCGCGGGGGGTTGGCAAGCGCTTGCAAGAGCTGGACGAGGCTCTAAAGGGATTTTTTTTTTTTTTTTTTTTTTTTTTTTTCCTTCTCCCCGGCAGTGACAAACTGCTTTCGGTTCTCTTTCCGCCTGGGTTGGCTTGCACCGGGGGCCGGGCTCCCTGTCACACCTCCCGGCGCGGTGCCCGCCGGCCGGGCGGCGTGCCGCCGGGGTTTTTGTGGCAAAGCGAACCGAGGGCGGCAATCGCTTCGGTGTTCCCCGGAGGAACCGTTCAGCCTTTGCCTTTCCACGCTGGGGTTTCCACAGACGGGTCTCCCGCCCTCGCAGGGCGATTTTGAGAGAGCAGGTTTATCTCGCCGCCCTCGGTCGCGTCCGTCTCGCTCAGGGAGCCGTGAGGTTGGGGTGGGCCGGTGGGATTTTTGGACGAACAGATAAAGCCCCGAGGCGTGGAGAGGAGCTCGTGAGGAGGTTTCGCCCGCCGCAAAACCTCCGGGCAAGGGGTTTGCAGCACCTCGCCCCCCTTCCCCATCTGCCAGCCAGGGCCCTGGCTGTCACCGAAGCCCACGGTGGGTACCCCAGCCCCGGGACGGGGGGGCAGGGGCTGTGCCCTCCCCGTGTCATCGGTGGGACAGCGGCATCTCGAGAAGGAGGGTGGGATGCTCCCAGTGCGGCCTGTGTAGGTACCGGGTAATAGCAGAGCCGTCGACAGGGCTTGAAACGCCCTGCTGCCACGCTGTTAAAGCAGTTACCTGAATAATAACCATATAATCCTCAGCGTGGGGCCTCCAGCCTGGAAAATTGGCATTAATCTAACGATGGGACGTGCGGAGAGGCTCCCCCCCGCCTCTGCGGGGCGGCTGTCCCTCACCTTTCTTCAGTAACGTGCCTTCCGCTGGCGATGCAGCTCGTGCTGGCTGCAAGCAGGAGAGCCTGCATTAATGCTGGGCCTTTGAAAGGCACCCGCTCCTGCACAAGTGTGCCGGCGTAATTAATCCAACAGCCTAATCGCTGGCTGGTGCCTCTTCGGGAGGCTTTGGGGTTTTATTTCAATGCGGGGATCTTGCGAGAACACGCCTGCTGTATATTTTTATTTTTATTGCAGCGTCGTTTAAAAGGAATCACTTGCTGGAGATTTCAGAGCTTTTCACTGAGTTTTAGTTTTTGAGAGCTGGTGTTGCTACCAAAATGTTGACGTTACAACTTTTCACCTTACTTTCCCCAAGCAGAGCGGGTTGCAGCCTCATAAATGTGATGTGTCAGAGAACGAAGCAGTGAGGAGGAGGTAATACGTGTATAATTCGGTGCATGTATTACCTGAGCGTATACAAGGCTGAGCTGTGACCCGTGCCGAGGCCGGTGAGAGCAGCCGGGGGAGGTGGGGATGGAGCACGGGTGCAGGCACAGCGCTGGTGTGGGGCTGGGGAAAGAAACCCCGGACAAAGCCAGCGAGCCGGGCTGCAGCAGCACAGCACACAGCATCCAGGCTGCCTGGCTGCCTCGCGACGTGCGAAGGTGGGATCTGGCTCGGGTGCTGTCCTCAGGATGTAAATAAACAGAGAATTTGGGCTCCAAACCCCCCAAATGGGTTTAATCTGGATTGCAAGCCGCCTGGAGCAGAAATTCGGTGATGAAGCGTTAGCGCTCACCATTTTCTGGACAAAGCCCAGAGTCTGAAACGGTGTGAGTCCCCCCTGGTCCCGCAGAGACCTCTGTAACCTGTAAAGCAGGCTGCCATTCATGTGCTCCTTTTTTTTTTTTTTCCTCCCATTTCTTCGTTTTAAATGGAGCTTGGAAGTCCAGTGTGCTCTGGGGGTGCTCGCTGTCGGCAGAGCTCTCTGTGCTTGCGTGGCTTTGCCGACCCTTGGGCACTGCCCACGTCCCTTACAGGCTGCTGGATGCTCCGTGCCAGCGTTCGGAAGTGAAGGTGCGTTGAGAAGTGCCTTGCAAGCTGTGGGGGAGTGGCTCCTAAAAGCTAAGGCATGTTAGTCTTCCTGCCAAATATTGGCTTTTAAACTAGGTCAGACGTTAAGGGTACCGGTAGGCCAGTGAGTGGGAAGAAGCCTGTCGAAGGCAGGATGGGACCGAACCCATTCTAGCTCCTGAGAGATCCCTTCCAGGCTGGGATCCTGTCTGCTTTATGCTTGAAAAACTGTTTGAGCAAACCCATGCTGGCTCCGGTGTAGGAACGACTAAGTTATGCCATCCACACCCTCCAAGTTATGTTTGTTTGCTCATCTTCAGCGGGAGATGGTAAGAGATTATCTTTTCCCTTATTACCTGCTGCTCAGGTTTTTGGTTTGTTGAAAGTCTAATTAACCTTCCTGCGGGAATGCTGATGTGAATGACTTTTTTTCTATTTTATCTATGCTCTGGAGCTCCTCTTATCTTTTTTATGGCTTGGCGTCACAGATAAAGCGCCCGCAGTGTTAAGAGGTTTCACTGGATGGGTTCCTTGCGAAAGGAATGGGGTTTGGAGAGTAAACAGAATAAACAGTGGCTTGTTCTAACAAGAAGTGAGCAGGTATTGCCACAGGATGGCTGATGAGACTATTAGATAAGGCTGGAAATATTTCTCCATTTGTGTTGTTCTGTTCAAGTGTCTGGACACCTTGTTTAGAAACATGATGTAAATCCTCTGCTAAAAGTTTTTCTGGCAGAATTAAATAACCCTATAAAAAAAAATGCACATCCCAGTAGCAACATAAAGCCATAACACACACAGAACTGCCACCAGTGCAGGGAAAAGCTCCTTGCCTCAATGGCAACAGCCTTCCCAGAAGAAGATGCCCTGCTTTGCTGGCTGCTAAGCAAATAAAGCCTGCGGTTTACAAGCAGGCTGAGGACGTTTCCATCCCCAAATAAAGATGGGGCTAAAAGTCCTTTCTGTGCCTTGGCACAGGTCCTTGCACAGCTCCGTGCATTGCCGTAGCTCTCGGGTAGAGGAGCTGCTGGGGTGGGGGGGGCACCTGCGAGGATTGTCTGCTTGATTCGGTGGGGTTTGGGCTGCTTGGGGAGAAAACAGTGCTGCAGGGTCACTCAGAAACATGGTCATGGATGTGGGACCTCTGGAGAGCATCCAGTCCAACCCCTGCTCGAGCAGGGTCAGCCGGAGCAGGTTGTCCAGGACTGTATCCAGTCAGGCTTTGAGTGTCTCCAAGGATGGAGACTCCACAACCTCTCCGGGCAACCTGTACCAGTGTTCACCCACCCTTCTTAGGATCAAACAGAATTTTCTATATTTCAAAGTGTGTCCTGTCGTGGGGCAGCACTGAGAAGGGTCTGTATCCGTCTCCTTCGCTCCCTCCCATCAGGTACTTACACACATGGGTGACATCCCCCCGAGCCATCTCCTCCCTGGGCTAACCAGTCCCAGATCCCTCAGCAGAGGTGGCGCGTGTTTCGTCCGAAATAAAACCGTGCCCAGCGGCACTGCCTTTGGGGAGAAGACGGGTAGAAGCTGCTTCTTTGGCCAGGAGGCAAGTGAGAGGCGTTGCAGTGGCACCGTCCCCTTGCCTGCTGCTCACAAAGCCTCTAGGGATCTTGGCACGGCTGCGGGGTTAGCCGGGCAGAGAGAAAATACCCTCCGGAGCCGCCGGGATTTTTGAGTCTTAGTTAATTAGAACTGTTCCCACGTTAAGCTGGGAGAGACTGGGGGGGGTCTCGTGCAGGGTTTGGGGTGGGAAGGTGTGATGGGGAGCAGTGGGGAGATGCCGCCTTTCATGGTCACAGATGGGTGCACACAGTTCCTCCATCCTAGCTGCTCAAATAACACCCAGTGTCTTTAGCAAATTTGCGTGCCTGACGCCTTTTATGGCAGCACTGCCTGGGTTGAACTGTGGCTTGCGTGGTCGGGATGTCTGCTAAGGTAAAAAACGCTGTCTGTCTTCCCATTCCCCACTCCTCCTCCTCCTCCCCCTGTCCCAGGCAGGACACTGGGCTGCAAGAGGGGATGCCACAGCGACGGGCACTTCACCCTGGGAAGGTAAAAGGAGGCAGCGTGATGCTGCGGTAGCTAACGCTGCCTCGCCTCTCCCCCTCTCTGCAGTAACAACAACCCCTACGCCTCCTTCGGAGCCACGCTGGCACGGGATGAGGAGCAGAACCTGTGGAGCACCCCGCACGACGTGACCCACACAGAGGCGGACGACGACCGGGTGCTGTACAACATGATCGTGGTCAGGAACCAGCTGGACAAGGACTCGGAGGTGAGGCGGTGCCATTCCTCACGCCCGGTTTCACCGCAGACCGCGGCTCGGGGCTTTCACCGGGTGCTTTGGCAGTGCCTTTATTTAAGCACCCGTTAAGCCACTATAAAGCCCCCAGAGTCCCCCAGCGCGGCTCATGTAGGCATCGGGTCCCCTCATCTGCTCCACCACTCTCCAGATTTTATCCTGTATCCGATGCGGATGCATCTTGTAGCCATCTCATCCCTCAGAAGCTGAGCCAGGAGAAGCCGCCCTGAGCTGGGATGCACGATGCCCCGCGAGCATCTCTACCACCATCACCCGCAAACGTGTACTGGTAACACTGGGATGCCCAGCTCAATTCCCTAGCTTCACAGGCTGCTTATTTTTCGTCCAATATTTCCCCAGTTTGGCCTTTCCACGGTCGGACTGGTGTCACCCTTGCCTGCAGTGGTGTTTGCCCGGCAATGGCAGCGCCTGGAGCTGAGCTGCCGCTCCAGCGACGTGTGAAGTTAAATGCTCCTCTAACGGGTTACGCCGCAACTACTGAGCAGCAGAGAACTAGCACAGCTCTTAGCACGGAAGGGAAAAATCACTGCTGTTACATAGAGGCTGCTTTGCAGCCCCGATTTCCTGCACTAAAGCACTTCTGTGCAAAGGAGAGTTCAGTGGCCTGATTAGGAGCAGGCTGTAGCGAATAGTGACACATTTTCTCCTCTCTGATTGCTTTTAAGACTTCAGAATGTTTGCAGGAAAGCCTGGAGGCTTCACATTTGATTTCAGCATGATCCCACTTCATCCAAGAGACAGCAAGACTGTAACTCTTTCTCCTGTGATAGTCTCCTTAAACCAAAAAAGCTAGCTCAGCTTTCACAAGAAGCCTTAAACTCCAGAGGTACAGCTAAGATCAAAATTACAATTTTTTAAACTTAAAATGAGATAATGCAATCCTTGTATACGGTTGGCCAAAAGCCCCATTTCATGGTTTGGGTTTTTTTTTTGATGGAGATTGACTTAATCGTGGTGTTTACAATAGATGGTTTTGTAATGTTTTCATGGCTTCACGTAACCTTTACATCTCTAACTGAGGATATTCTCTTCCCTTCCCACTGCTGTTTTCTCTACCTTGCGATTGCTTGCCCTGGGGAAGGCAGGGAGCTTCATCCAGCCCCAACCGGCTGAAGGACGTGAGGATGACTCCATTTAGGAGGCTGCTCTGGTCCCGAGTTGTTGGCAGGGCCGGGTGCACTTCAGGGCAGCGCTGAAGCTCCTGATTTCAGCCCGCACCCATTCACGTGGCCTTTTAGCTTGATTTAGGGCTCATTATGACACCAGCCTCCTAAAAGCTGATATTATTTATAAAATGGTATCATAAGCGGATGGGCTGCCAAAAAGACATCTCCCTGGGCAAGGGAGAGCTGCGTGTCGGCCTTGCTCAGATCACAGAGGAGAGCATCAGTTATGGGCGAGCAGGAGAGCGGTCCTGCGCCTGCTTGCCCTGAACCCTCCCCTTTCTCCCTGCCTTCAGCCCACCTGTAGGGTTTTAATGGGTCTGAGCAGTCGCCGTGCCTGCCAGTGAAAAAGGAAGGTACAAAAAGCATGGGGCTTCCTCTCCACAACAAATGTAAGATCACGTACCCTGGGTTTTTATGCAGTGCAATTAGTAAAGAAGCCTGAGGACTGCAACATCAGGCTGATTTTGAATAAAGCCAACACACGATACACTTGATTTGAAATATGGCACAGTGCCCTTTGCAGCTAGTCATTGCCAGCCTCTCTGCTGTCTCTCTTTCCTAGCGAGGGAAACTGAGGCACAATATATATAAGGCTGGCAAGCTGCTGCAGTTTCCAGCTGCAGCCTTTTCTGGGTGGCAGGACAGGGAGGGGACTTGGCTGACAAAGCCAACATTCCTGTGTTCAGCTCTGGGTGCCGAAATCTCTCCTTACTCCAGTGAGCATTTTAAAACTAGGCCAGATTGTGTTGCCCTGCCCCCCCCCCCCCCTTACAAGACTTCAGTCCTGCGAGAGAGAAAAAAAGTCTAATTGCAAAACAGCACTGGGCTGCAAAAGCCATAATCCGCTTTGGGGGCTGCTCTGCTCCCAGAGTCCCTGGGGAGCGCGTGTGGATGCTGCAGAACAGGGGACAGAGAAACAGTTTCTTGTTTGTGCAGGGCACAAACATTACGAAACCATAGGTCCATTTTTTCTCTTGGTTAAAATGGAACTGAAAGGAGAACTACTCCCTGTATTTCTCTCCCTTCATTCCACAAAGAAATTTTGGCCCGCTGTGCGTTTACTGTATGCTTTGCCATGCCTCACCTTTATCTTAGGGATTTCCTAGCACAGGACCTTGAAAGGATCCCAAAGAGCAAGTCGCTCTGTGTCATGTGTGCTTTATCTGTACGGCACCACCCTGGCCTCAAACCAGTATCACATTTTTCTTAATCGGGCTAACCCAATTCTGCTTTCCTGGGTATTTTCTTCTTCTTCTTTTTTTTTTAATGGTTATTCACATAGTGACAAGGTGCTGTGAGCTAGGACAGGAGACGTTGTGGGCCAGGATGCAGTGCTGACATGGGCACAGTGCAGGAGGTCAGTGGGCTTGGGCCAGGATGGCTCTTTCCTGGGCTGGGCACCTCGGGCATCGTGGATCACCGTAAATAACTAAACCAAACTACATGCAAAGGGCCAGGCCCTCCAACACCGAGTGCACCCCGTAGCTCAGTCGATTTTCTGCATGTCGTTCACCAAAGCTCACAGCACTGGTGTCCCCCGCTCGGGGCCAGCTCCTTGCCCCCACCGTGGGGCTGGACCAACACTCGATCCCTGCGGAGCTGCTTCTTCTCCCTGCCTGCTCCCCATGGCCCTGCTCTGGGAAACGTGGCAGCTCCAACCCAAGCTCCGTGTGACCTTCGCTTGCATAAGGATGGCTCCACCCTGCTCCTCGCTGAACCAGGGCAGCAAGCTTTTCAAAGCAAGCACCCTGATGTCCCGGGTGCGCCCCGTTTCACGTCCTGCTCCACGCCGTGTGCTGGGAGTGACGACTCACGGGGCTGTTGGCCGTGGTGGAGCCCGTCGGTGCACCCTGCGGTTGCCAAACCCACCGTGCAATAGGTAGACAAGGCAGGATTTGCTGGAGCCTCCTAAAATCAGAAGGACTGAGCAACTTGCAGCTTTGCATTTCGCTCTGCTTGAGGCCGGTGAGCGCATGTGTGCTTGGATGCACTTTGGGAAGCCAAGTGGGGGCAAGGGAGGGTGTGTGCAGAGAAAACCAGAAAAGCTCTAGCTGAAGGGCTGGTTTAAGGGGGCTTGTAAAGCTGATGCAGCCTTTGGAGATCAACGCTGTCGTCAAAGCTTTTGAAGGCTGGGGTCAACATTGCGAATATAGAAAAAGATGGTTTTTTCCCTGCTCCTGCTCTGCAGCATCGTTGACCTGTTGTGGTATAATGTAAAACCCTAAATCTGGAGGTGAAATGAGGACCTCCAGGAAAACAGGATGCATAGATACAGGCCAGGCCACTGTTCCAGCACGTCCCATGCAAGTGCAGAGGAGAGCATTTTATGGTGAAGGGGAACTACTGTGGCTCTGGCAAGTCTCCAGTTAACAGTGAAAGCTGCACTGGGCCCATTGCTGGGCTCATATGCACGATATGGCAGATAAACCCCTCCGTGAGGTCCAGCTTGTGGTGGCCCTGGTGTCTCAGCATCCTCTGATGGGATGGATGGAGTTACCCAATTTGGGCAGAGAGCCTGAGCTGTTGAACTAATATAGGCTTCAGAGAAAGAGCCGGGTTTAGGGCAGCTGTGCCACGGGTCTGTGAACAGAAACTAAAGGTGTGCTTTTGCATTATGACCAAGGAAAAACCACTGTTCTTACGGCTTGTTGTAAATGCAGTGGGTTTTTTATTCTTTTGGCCTCTTTGCTTGGGGAAGGTGGGATCGTAAACCTGCTGGCAAAGGCAATTCCTCAGCCTGCATCTCTGCTAGGAGCCTGGCTAGGAGAGCTACACTGGCATGATCCTCCTGGCAAGCCCATTAATGATCTGACAGGGCCCATTTTTCTGCTTTCTCCTGCTCTCCCACAGGATTATTCTTTTTTAAACACACTACAGAGAAGGTCAGTATTGTGACACATGGTTGCTGGAGCATAAGGAGGTAATGGGATTTGCCCAGGGTTGAGGATTCTGGTTGGGGAGCCCAGAACTGACCCACTTAATAAACACGAAAAATTTTTTATTAACTCCTGCATGCCTCTCTTATAACTGAATCCGATTTAAGCTTATTCTAAGCGAGACGTAGATTAATGGTTCAAAATATGAGCATGGATCTAGAGTTGGTATTTGCTCAGCTCCTTCCAGTGGGGCCGGTCACCGAGCCAGAGTAGGAGCAGCCCTGGCTGTGGTGTGGTACCTGCCTGGAATGATATTTTGCAGTCTTTCCCTGATAACTCTGTTTTGACCTCATTTCCAAAATAACTCTTGAACAGAATGGTGACACCAATTGCTTTCAAGGGAATAAAGGAGAAAGCTTTGGTAGAGCATTGCTTTGACAACACAAAGAAAGCTACCTATTAATTAGGAAATTTCCATACAAGCAGAGATGAAAAGTTGGATGGTGCTTGCTTGTTCTCTTAGCACCTTTTTTTCCCAGAGCTCTCAGTTATATGCCAGCCTGGCTTATATTTCATGCCCAGCATTTCCTCACTTCCATTTGCCATTTGCAGATTTAGTACCTCACACTAGAGAGTCTGGGGAGGTTTTCCAGGTAAATATTTGGAGGGCTGAGCACACAGAGGAGAGAAGGTGGCAAGGTTTCCCTGCTGCTCCCAGGATATTTTTAAATCATGCACAAAGGGTCTTCTCAAGCCCGCACTGGTATATGCTGTGCCCGGCTATGTAGGTTTAAAAGGGCAAAACCGGATGCATAAAAACAGGGCCAGGAGCTGCAGTGTGCTTTGGTTTCCTGTGGTTAATTCAGATTTTGGCAAAAGGGTATTTTTTCTTAAAGAATTGATTTCGAATGCATAGTTGGGATGTCCCAGACCCATAGAAACAGGAAGGGGTTTGGTGAAGACAGGTCTTCTGTTGAACTTTCCCAGTACTGTGTGCAAGGAGCCTCCCTGACGCCCCAGAAGTTACATCTACCTTTGCAAGAGGCAGGACAGGGAACGGAGGTGCACAGAAGGTGCGAAACAAAGCTAAGTTTTGGGAGAGAGCTGCACGTCCCACGCCTGCACGCAGGCTGGGACACCTCGCTGGAAAAGGTCTTGGGGGGGGGGGACACCTGTCAGAGGGGCAGTGAGGGCTGAGGAAGAGCGGGGTTCGTCACGAAGCCCCAGCTGCCTGCCCTGGGGCTGCCTGGCAGCGGGTGCTGAGCGGCCTCGGCCTCGTGATGCCGCCTGGCCCCGACCAAACGAGAGGCTCCTTCCGCAGGTCACAGCTTGGTGACTCACGGGATGTGCCTGGGGGACAACCCTCCCCAAAGGCTCTGATGTTGCCCATTGCTATGCGTGGGGAGAACAAGCTTTGCTCTTCCCCTGCTGTGTAGTCAAAGGGAGAGGCTTTTTAGAATAATTTCGGGGATGGAAAGATGCTCTTAACTTTATTTCCTCACTAAAACAACACGAGGACAACCTCCTGCCCACAGCACTTAAGATGTCTCTGCTACAAGGAATTGCCCAGGAAAACTCGGTGGTTTCTTGATGGAGGACAGGGCACGAGTCCCTTTGAGAGCTCAGCCTGTAGCTGCCCAAGCTCATCCTGGTAATCTCTGATAGTTGCTTTACAATTTCTGGCACCGTGTGCAGCGTCCTCCTCCCAGCTTTTTCTACAGAAATAGAAATACATCCAACTCCGTGCTCAGACAAAAGAAATCTTACCAAAACAAGAGTTTCTCCCCCCAGACACCACTGTTAAGCATCACTTTCTGTACCAAAACTGCTCCTTTGCATACTCCCCAGATTCTTCATCAACAGAACACTGTTAGAGGTCCTCTGGGACTAAATATGCACCATATTCACTTCCATAACGCAACGCAGTCACTACAATGTACACGAAAGCCATAACCTAGATTCTCTTAAAACAAAAACAGACAGGGGAGAACACACTGCCATTAATCCAGAGAAAATCAGAGGCAGTATCCCTGCATGCTAAGCACTGCTCACCGGTTAGCTGAGCAAGGAGTCTGGCTCGCTGCTACAGGGGGTAAATCCCTGCAGCCGTGAAGGCTGCTACCAGGTGCCAGCACGCCACGTTTTGGCGAGAGGAACATCTTTTCCACCTCGCCCCGCTCGCTAATTCAGCAGTGTGAAGCCTGCTTGGAATCACAGTGGCCATCTCGATCGATCGCTTGCATTAAAGCACTTGTTTATCTCCGTGGGAGGGCAGAGACATGCAGCTTATTTCCCCACCAGCATGCCCAGACTGGTTTGCTCTCCTTTCTGCTCATACCACGGGGTCACGAGCGGGCTGAGAGGTTTCTGAGGGATCCCTGCCAGTGGGGAGCAAGGCACCGTGCAGCCTTTTAGTCCCTTTTTAAAAACTTTCAAGTGTGCAACAAGCTTCCCCCAAAGCTTTAATACAATAAACCCCCTCTTTTCTTTTAGCACCGAGAGCTCAGTTCCTAGCTACGAGCTGGTGTCATGAAAGAGGAGTCCTGTCCCTGCCTCCTTTCTGTTGGGAAGGGCTGAAGAAGCGTTTTGATGCCTTGCACTGGCAGCCAGGTGCCCTCCTGTGCCAACAGTAAAGCTGTTTTCAAGTATCACTGCAGTCAAGAGAGAAACGCGCCTCTGATCGGCAAAGCCGGCTCGTTGCGAGCATCAACCCAAAGCTGAAAAGGAAGGGGATTTTGCTCTCCAGGAGGACGAGTGGTGCAGAGCGAGTGGCTGAGGGTCGAGCTGTGTTTCCCCAGCTCTCTTGACCTGCATTTAGCAGTGTCTTAACCCCTGCTTCTTCCAAAGCTTAATCTCCAAGGGCTTCCTGCAGCTATTGCTGAACAGCAAGAAAACAGGCTCGTCATTAAATTCTCTGCAGTTGTGGCATGTTAGCTGGGTTTAGCAAAAAGCCACTGAGAAATCTCCGACTCTTTACTGAATCAGGTCAACTTTTTAAGGTACCACGTATCAGAGAAACAGTGGGATTTCTAACACACAGCCAACCTTCATGGGTATTGTTTAACCCCTTTGAACCCAGTGTGTCACGTAGGACAATCCCAGGGAGACAGCACCGATTAACACCCCTTTATTCTGCAGGAGTGCATCTATGAAATCTGTTGCTGAGAAATTAGATCAATTAAGGTTGTTAGTGCAGAGAAATTATCTGAGTGGTGCTCTGAGCCACTGTGTGGATGCTTGTGTACATGCATCCTTCGCAGTGTGTGCTTTGATTAAACTCAGCTAGAAAAAGTACTCCTCGTTTTCTTGCTTGTACACATGCGTTTAATTGTGCTGGTGTAACTTTAATAAATAACCTCAAACCCTTCCCTTTTAGACAGTGTCCTGTTATGCAGATATAAAGCTCGAGGTCAAGTGCAAGGCTCTAAGCTGAGTAGTTCAGTGAGGCATTAACTCCAGTAACTGTCAGTCACTAATAGTTACTATGTCAAATGACTCCAGCTCAGCCCTCAACCATCAGTGTGCATCCCTCTTATCTGCTATTTAAAATAGGGTACCCCAGCCTTTGAAGAAAGTCTCTTTTTCTCGTTTTCCAGTGCTTTTGAAAACCTGCCTGCTCCAGTTAAATGCCAAAGAGAGGGCTGAGCAGTTTGCAGAAGCCACTGCGTGTGTGACGATACCGAGAGCCAATAACTTTTTTTCAAACTTTTAGTTTCCCATGGGCTATTATCAGCTGTAAGAAAATGTGCCCTGCCAGTCTGACTGCAAGGGTATGAAAATAAGGTGTTGCAATAGTTTATAGAAGGTAATTATTAATATGTGGCTATGCTTTCCCAAGTTGCTAAGGGCCAGATAAGGTATTTTCACAACCTCAGGTTTTGATTCTAGCAGGGGTGTCAAGGTTTGGGGTATAGGGCTTTGGACCAAAGACACTGAAGCCTCTCAAATTAACTACATTTGGAATTTCGTGTTGTTCTCCAGCCTAGGACAGCATTATACTTTCCAGCACAGAGCTGGAATTATATTCTCTCGTGTCTGACTGAGGAGACCACCCTGGTCATCAGCAACGCCTAAACTAAATTCTGTAATCCCATTTTGGGGTAACTGGAAGCCTGTTTTGTATGTGCAGAGGAGATACAGAGATGTGTACCACATGTTAAGCTAAAATATTCTACACTGGTCGGTGTGATTTCTTCAGGGGCAACAGCAGTCTGGGCATCGACCTTCACATCGATCCCTCAGTGCCAACATCAACAGTTCAACTCTGGCTCCGTTTCTAAAAGCTGAAATTCCTAGAAAAGCAGCAGAGACCTTCCCGCGTGCAAATGATTGAGTATGTCTTATCCTTTTGCTTTGCAGGAATGGCAAAAGCTCAACTATGATATTTATACTTTACGGCAGACCCGAAAAGAAGTGAGAAGCAGGTGGAAACACATTTTGGAGGATTTAGGTAAGCTAGAGGACAAAATGCTGTCGTTTGTGTGGTACCGAATGAGAGGCTCCACAAAATCAGGCTGGTAGAGGAGGGAGGGAGGAAAATAAACCAAGGTTGCAGAGCAGTGCCATCAGGTAGCCCACACACAGCAGCTGAGAGCCTGCCGGAGGCTCCTCAGAGCTCAGGCAGGGCTGGGAAAAGACGGGGCCACCCTGTCTGCAGGCACGTCAAAAAGCCCACGAACCACGACCAGCGGGAGAGACTTTCAAGCCCATACCGGCACGCACGCTCATCCATTTCAGGCTTCCTTGTGCAAACTTAGCAGGGATTCCTGGGAGTTCACCCTGGGTTTTTCTAAACAAGATAAGCAGGGAGAAATGAATATTCCTTTCAGATTTGAACACAGATATATCTGTTTTCCTTCCTTAGCCCGTGCCAGCTGATCAGAGCTAAACCACCCACTCTGTTTGCTCCCGAGTGGATTATAAATGCGCTTTTCACCAAGCGAAATTGCCCAACAGTGGCCCTCCTACTGCTGCCGCGCGCTAGCCTGCAACCAGTGAACTGCACGCACCGGTCCTGTGTGCCCAGCTGCTGCTCCTCTGGAGGAGGCAGCGGACGGCGTGACCTGGTTTTCCCCGTTGCGTGGTGCAACGCGTGGTTTTCCCCATTGCGCGGCCCGGGGAGGTGTGCCGTGCCGTGCCGTGCCGTGCCGTGCCGTGCCGGCACGTCGGCTTGGTGACTTGCATCGTGCCCCGGAGAGGGTTGGCAGCAAACGAGAGGAGGATGTGCGAGTCGAGCGCACTTGTTGGGCTGTTCAAGGATATTATCACTGGGAGCAAAAGAGATGGGTATCTCAGCCACTCCGGCCCTACCTGCCGTTCTGGCATCTGGATGGGAGGAGCTTTACAAATTCATAACTAGGTATCAGCATTCACGTTCACCACGGTACTCGCACAGCCTGTACAGACCAAAGACGGGAGGGATCTCTTGACATCCTTACGTCTGTTACTGCACGTTGACAAAGGCTCTCCCACACCTCCCTCACGTCCGCAATGGCTCCGGAGCCGTTTTGCAAAGGGTGGGGGAATCTCAAGGCCAGGGATCATTTGGCCTTAGCGAAGCTGGATGTGCAACCTGATGTGAAACCTCCTACCTTCTTTTATCTAGACCTGTGCTTTAATCATAAGACTCTTTCCCCTGTGAGTGTTTTCTGGTGAGATGCATCACCACCCGCTCCCTGGAGCTGAACAAACTGTTAACGGTAGCCATTGCCTTCAAAGATCTCTGCATTCGCTCTCTTCAGATGCTGACTGCTACAGGAACAATTACCCATGCATTCATTACTGCTGCAGGTTTTTTATCGCTCTTACCTCCCAACAACATACAGGTGTAGTCGCTGGGGTGCTCAGGAAGCCCCACCAGCCCTGAAAGCTTTGGCAACATCAAGAACTTGCAGGAGCTGAAGCAACACCCTGGGTGTGGATGTTCCTAGCCTTCTCTGGAAAACTAGCAACAAACTTGCTCTGAATGTTTTTGTGATTTTTTTCCCCATCAGCAGGCTTATACCTGCCCCAAGTGCAGACACAGAGCCTGCCTGGGGGAAACGCCAGTTTGTTTTAGCAGGTAGATAACACAGCAGCCCAAGGTGGAGGGGGAATAAGGAACCTTGCAAGAGCCTGGAGGGCTCAGGGATGACCCTGCTCGCATGTTTGGCTCGTTTCTGTAACATATTTCTTTCCCAGGTTTCCAGAAGGAAGTGGACTCCCTCTTGTCAGTGACGAAACTCAGCATCATTAGCGACTCCCAGAACATGGGCAAAGCCCGGGACTTCCTGTTAAAGCTGGCTGAAGAGACAAACATCTTCCCGACCAGCTGGGAGCTTTCTGAGCGCTACCTCTTCGTGGTGGTGAGTAGCTCCGAGCGTGCCTTCCTCCCCACCGCCCCCACCACTGCAAGTGAGCTCAGGCAAAGGGGAGCGGGTAGGTGAACTGCACCAGAGGACACTCAAATACACGGTGACAGCTGGGGCGTCCCCATCAGATGTTGCACTTGTAGCTTGGATGTTCAGCTTCCTTGGAAACGTCAGTGAGGTAGCACGAGAAATTTCCCTTCCCCTCCCAGTTCCTTTAAGCTGTGTGTAACAGTTAACAAAGTGGGAAAAGATGAGACCTACTTTCTGGCTTAACCTGAGAGCAGCTGTGGAGGGAGGACCCTGACCAGGGAGCTGCCCGAAGCAGCCCGTAGTGACTATAAAACCTCGTTGCTTTGGCAGGATCGACTCATAGCTCTGGATGCCGCAGAGGAGTTCTTCAAAATGGCCAGCACGGTGTATCCGAAGAGACCCAGCGGGGAAAGAGCGGACGGGAGCCAGAAGGCCCCGCAGTGTATCTCTGTCGTGATGCCCTGAGGAATGTGCCTCAGTGGCACGAGCTGGACAGCGGGTTTCCTTCCCTCCGGGAGCCCGCTCCTCTGCCGAGGGGTTCGCACAAGTAGTGCCGCTCCTTGTTTTCCTGCAGAGAAGCGAGCGGGCCAGCCGGAGCAGAGCGAGGAGGTCAGCGAGCCGTGCTGCCGCCGGGAAGGCACGGGAAGGCTCATGCTGGGCCCAGGGTGCTCCCAAGCAGAAGGGAGCAAGAACTTGGCGGTAGCGTAGCCCCGGCGGGAGACTGCTAGCTGAGTAGTGTGTGACAGGCACGGGGGGGGGGGGGGCACCCACCGCCCCAGGCGTTGCTACCAGTAGCTGCAAAAATGGAGATGCCTCTAGCTGCAAGGGCTGCGAGGAGAGCTGCGTTTCCACCTTCTGCTGGTACCTGCCACTGTTGCCTCCCTCGACCCAGCTGGCCGGGAGGACCAGCAAGGGAGGCAAAATACCTCAGTCATCTGCAAGTCCACGTCGTTTCTCTGTGTGCTGGTCCTCTCCTCCATCCCCAGCCCCTGGCAGCCCCACCGGGCAGGTCCCGAGGGATTTGGCAAAGAGGCAGGAGCAGCACGGGGCTGGGAGAGGGGTCAGTGCCGGGCGGGAGAGCCCTGGAGCAGTGTCACAGCTGGGTGCTCCATTCCCAGCCATTACCGGTTTGGAGGTGTTTGTGTTGGGGGGGTGCTCAGCCTGGCATCTTAAAAGAAGGTAGATTTTAGGAAGGTGCCAAAGTCAGACCAGCTAAGAATTTGGCTTATGTAACATCCTGAGAGTGGTTGCCTAACATCTTACTTTCTGAAAATTTTGGTCTCAATTGCATAAAAAAGCCACACTATAAAGCTGCATGCACTGTTAATATATACCATCTCTGCTGTTAATGAGGATTTTAAATGAACAGCCTTTATATCTTGGGGTTTTGTCTGATAATAAGCAATGATTTTAAAACACTGGATTTGATAATTTAAAAACAAGTGGAAGTTATTCACATATGCTGCTAATTGGCCAGCTGAAAATGCTGGTTACATAGAACCTCCCAAAATAGCAAAATGGAGCTTTTATTTGTTTATACCTACCGTGTTTGAAAGATATATATTTATGCATAGTTTCTGTTTGTCAGTCTTCCTGGGAAATGATTTTGTCAGCTCAGGACACAAGTGAAAACTGAGTTTAATAAATAAGACACATTACAAAACTAACGTTTCTTACTCTCTGTAACTCTTTTCAGGCAACAACATTTACCTTGACTGCTGATAGCAAGAGGGTTGGGGTATTTGTAAAGCATACGGTTCTCTGGCCTGCTCTCCGCACACTTACAATTGCCTGTTGAGTTGCAAGAGTAGGGTCATTTGCCAGCCTAGGACTAAAGTCATTGTAGGAGGTGAGGACTGAATTTGATTTCAGTAGGATATGGAGTTAGGTGCCCAGTTGCCATTGATTTATTCAGTATTTTTTCTAGCAGCAGTTCAGCCGCACTTTGGAAAACATCCCATGTTTTTATAGAAAATAAACTTCAGTGCATGGCAACTCCAGGGTTTGATTTGAACAACCTGTTGCAGAACAGAGAGACCTGGCAGTCTGAGGAACACCGTGCCAAAGTACCTGACATGACCTAAAAGTCAGCCCTTGGGATCTTATCACTTTATAGTACTACATGTTATGTAGAACCACCTGATGAGTTCCGAAATCTCATGGGCAGGAAGAAGAGGCGTAGTGTTAGCTGCGGTGCTGCTTGTTTGGGTGGCAGAGGTTGATGTTAAGAGCGCCTTTGCAGAACCACCCCTTGCTGTCACTTGTAGCTGTGAAACCAGTTCTGATGTCAACAAAATGCATTTTGTTGGAACTTAATAGGACAGAAAGTGCCTAAAAGGGACAATGACCAGGATCTCTGCTACCGAAGTCAGGCCCCGTGCCGGGGAAGCGCTGAGTTTCTGGGCACAGCCACAGGGAGGAGCAGGAATTAACAGCAGCATCGGATCAGAGCGGAGCTGCTCACTTCTGAGCAGCAGGGAGGAGTAACCAGGCCCAGGTGCTTGCGCATCAGATCACGCACCGATCACAACGTGAACAGGAAAAGGTCTGTCAGTCCCAGCACTTGGACAAAACTGGTCACGGGATAACCTGCAAATACTGCGAAACAGCTTTTGGTTAAGGATGCAGAACTAAAAATCTGCAAGCCGAAAAACTACAGAAACCAGCAGAAATTGTTTCCGTAGAGGTCCAAGCTGAAGTTTATCACTATGTTCATCTCAGTAGGAAATGCCCTGTCTTTCATGCACTTGAGGTAGAAGACCGACAAATTGTATTTCAGTTAGCAATATACAGAGAGAAATTTGCCTTTTCTAATCTGCTTAGAAATTACCAGGAAGATGCACGTCTTAAACTTTTGTTTTCCTCAGATTTGGGCTTCCTCTCCTGCCAAGAGAAGGAAGCACAGCTTAGTTTGCCTCCAAGCAAGCCTTTTGGCTGTTTCTCAGGGACCAGCAATAGAGGGCCCTCCACCTGCAACTCAGAGATGGCCCATACTCGTCATAAGGTTCAGATACCGCCCAGTTGCCTATTGATACTGGCCTGCCAGAGGTGTTTAAAAGACATATTTAGGATCTGACAGTGGAAAAGTTACCCATGTCTAAACAGCAGATATGGTGGGACTATCTTGTTTAATGGCAAGAACAAAGACAGGGAAAGAGGCATAAAAAAACATCTCCCAAAGAAAGTCATTCCAGATTTTGGACAAGTTAAAATCACTCGTGCTGGCAAGGAAAAGGCTCCTGGGCAGCACTTGCATTTTGGGTGTCAGATTGAGAGTGTGAGATTAAACTGAGGAGATGTTCAGATGGTAAAACCAAGTCAGACACACACAGTCAAGCATCACACCCTGGAGCTGTTTCAGCACAGACTGAGTGTCATAGGCCCCTGGGTGGACAGGCTGCCTCACCACACGGACCAGGGCACCTCACTGGCCAGCAAATTTCTCTGCATTGAGAAAGACGGAAGAAAGATTTCATAAAATATACAAATCTCAAACAGCATTCAAGCCAAAGGATCCCTGGTGATGCTACATTGCTGCCACAGTCCTGGGTGGGGGGAATTCATCCTCCCAACATGAGCAATTGCCTTCTTCACTAGAAGCAAGTTTGTGTTTCTCTCGTTTGATGCACCACCCAGTCCCCTCCAGCTGCCGTTCGCATGGGCTTGAGTCTCCCATATGACCTGTATCACGCCTGGATGCTTCCACAGATGCCTTTGGCATCCTGCAGGCCTCAGGTGCCACTAGCTACCTGCATGTGGGGAGCAAATCCTGCCAGCACCCACCTGGGAAGCGGTGGCTGTAGGACAGCCCAGCGAACACCAGATGCCACTGTTCCCTTAGCCACGCCGCAGCATGCGGAGAGAAAGCGTGTTTACAATGCAGGGGAAAGGTTTCCAACCTTTTCTTGCATGCATCAGGTCTCTCGAGCCTGCAAGAACTGGCTTTCTGTTAAAGGCTGGGGTTTAGATATTGAATAATTGCTCTGGCACCTTCCGGGAGACAGTGGCAAGCCCATCTCTCTTTCCAAGGTTTCCAGGGCTGGGGCCAGAGTCTCTTCTCCTACTTGGAAGTATCACTCAGCATGGGGCTGGCTGCTGCAGGAATTAGCATGTTCACCAAGAACATTTATTTTTCTAAACAGAGGGTGGACTTGGGCATCCCTTGCTTTGCCAGGAAAGGAAAAACACCAAGAATTCTTTAAAATAAGCAATATGAGAGGGTTTAAAGTACATCCATGTCAAGTTTGTTTGTTTTGTTTTGTTTTGTTTTTTTTTTTTTCCCCTTAACTCTGTATTTAACTAGTATTTCAACTAGAAAGAAGGAGGGAAGGAGGGACAGTTTCCTTCCATCCATAAGCCATCGACATGCTCCACTTTGGTTTCCCCTTCCTAAGTCACAGTAGCAGCAGACACAACTAGCACAGTTCATGTGATAACTTGAAACAGATAACCACTGGGTATGAATCAGGGTAGCTTCTCCAAAGTGAGGAATCCTGATTTATAACAAGTGATTGTCTAAGCTTTGTCTTCCATCACCACCCGTTTGGTTATTTCAGACATTGCCTGTATCAGTCAGGCTGTTGAGCAAACCTGGAAAAACACCTCTACCTAATCGCTGGCCAATGTGTTGGCTTAACAGTGGCTGAGCAAAGTATTTTAGTTTTTTTTGAGTCATGGGGAGCAACACTGTAAAGTTCCCGTCCTCTAAATTACAGCTAGGAGTTAGGTATAGTGCAATTGCTGTCTGTAATAGAGACTGGCTAGAAACAAACATCAATTTACAGACCATCTTAACTGTTCACGTGCATACATAGTTTCTTCTTTGTATTCCAAGTTTTCCTAGGACATACATCATGAATTCGGCAGGATGAGGAAAAAAAAAAAAAATCGTGGTAGAAATTTAGCTGTGAGCTGTAAGACAGACAGAAGGTGGCAGTGCAGGTGTTTGGTAAATGCTGGAGCAGCAGCAGGAGAAGATGGGAGGTAGTGGCCTGAAAGGAGTCAGGCTTTTCATTTTACTTGCTGTGGATGTAAATCACACCGTAAGTTCTGATAAATAATGAGAACAGACATGGGAAAGAAAACTGTCATCTTTTACATTTCATCTATAGGAAAAATTACCATTTCAAACCACTCAGTTTCAATCATTTCTAATGTTAGAAATTCCAACATTTACATACTCCTCCTGCAGGGAAAGCATGTACTTTTCTAATCTAATGAGGATCAGTAACATTGAGTGACTTACCACAAAATAGCTCTCCAAAAGCATTTCTTTGAAGACAAACAACTGGCTTTGCATGGGGCGTTCTTGTTAGGCAAGTTATGGATTATCAGAAACATTTATTTGGCTTACAAATTGCAGATGGTGCGGCCACGTCCATAGGGGAGCTGCCCTTGCACAAGGGAGGCCACAGAGAAATCTGCTCGTTGGCCGCTCCTAAATTCCCTGATACAAGACTTGCACCACCAAAAGCCTGTCTGTTTTTTCTATCAGTTGGTCTAGTGAAACATACCACCTCTCCCCACAGGCCATACCCTTACTATTTAAGGAGAACAGTCATTTTTCAAAGCGGTAATCAATTCTGGTGACCCTTTTGTCTTACTCAGATTAGGAAAGGAAGATGCCATGGAGGCGGTGGGCACCCTGCACACGATAGGATTGCATCAGCATTAAAATAAACAGATTTAGGCAGTCAAGCTAGGGAACAGCCAAAGAGGTAGAGCCGTATCAAAGCACAGACAAGAGGGCAGCAAATGGAGGCAAATAGGCAGCCCAGCCAGCGCCCAAGAAAAGGAAGGAATATTTGGCAAGTGGAGAAGGTTGTGTGCATTGGGTACAGCGTCGGTGCCAAAATACGTAGTGGTGGTGTGGAAGAGTACATCATCTGGGTAGCACCAGCAGGATGAAATGTGTTTGTGCATGCCTGAATGACCATCGTTAAAAACCCTGCTTGATGATAGCTCACCAGCAGATCAGAAAGAAGAGACAGATATTTATGAAACGATGTGTTACCAAAAGATTATCCTTTCAAGAGTGGCAACTTTATATCTGTTAAGCTGCTGGGATTCTTTCCATTGGCTTGAACTGGGTTTGAGTCAGACTTTGGAGACACAAACAGCAGGGCAAGTCCAGACACCACTGAAGTCAAAAACAAAACTCCTGCCAGCTGCCCATCTATTTCTCTTCTGCATCAAAGTCTCAAAAATAACAAGTATGGTTTCTGAAAAGATCTCCACAAGTGATGAGAAGATCTACCTGTACTTGCCTGAAGGAAGAAAATAAAGCCCAAACCATTTCTCGTGACCAAAGGATCACAGGGAAAATTCAGGTCAGTCATCCCAGCCAACCTTCTTCTTGCTTGAAATAATCTCTCCTCTTCAGAAAATGGCACAAGAAATTTCTATGGAAATCATTACTGGCATACAAAATACTTCACCTAGCCAAAGAAGTAGTGGTTGGTACAAAGGAAATATATTAAACTTTTTTTTTTTTTTTTTTAATTAAAAAAGTGAAATAGATTTGTGAAACTCATCTGGCGGGCAGGTTTAGAATGAGTTAATGCCTCTATGAAACACTCCTTTGATACCTCCAACTCAAGTGACCAGGGTTAGCTTTAACCTTGCATTTCCATTCTCCTTTAGGTGAAGGAGCACAGCTGGAGGAGTG